AAATTTTACAATAAATACTAAAAGTAAAGGATTTCTTACTCGGCTCTGTGTGTGTTTAGGTTAATGATATGTGATATGGTTCTCCCCTTTTGAGACTTTGAGTTTTTGGTTTTCAGTTTTCATTATCTAAATGTTTCTTTGTTGTTGGTTTCTTGTTTGTTTTCCATTTTATATTGTGTTTAAGCCAGTCTTAAGTTACTCTCTCTTGCACCTTGTGCCTGTCTTCATTCCCCTAGCTCCCTTCTAGTCACTTCCAACCACACCTGCTCCATATCTGCTAATTAGCCTGGTCTTTGTTCAGTCTCCTATTTATACGCCTCATGTTCAGTCACTGTTTTCTGGTTCCTTTTTGTTGTTAGTTGTTTCCTTGTCTCTGGCTCTCCATTTGAGTTTTCTCTGATGTTTTCTGTGTTTTTTGGTTCTCAGTATTTTTTGTGTTTTGGATGTTTGTTTGTTTGTTTTTCATTCATTTTTAAATCTACAAGAACTCCTCTCTGCTTTTGGGTCCTCAAGCAACCTCACCCCCCTTGTTTGCAGACACTGTAAGACCCAATGATAGATCAGAAACTTTTACAGATTTAAAGTCTCAAAGGCCCAACACTGATCTGGACCTTAGTTCCCCTTTCTATCATGAATGAGTGATGGGTTATTGGTAGTCTTTTGCTTTACAGTTCATAGAAAATTGTCCTATGTTGCTGCCACAACCTGTCATGCACTCTACGCAAGATAAATGACAGGGTACCCCATCCTGTTAGTAACTGTTGCAAGGAACATGACCAAAGGTCAATATTTGACAAGTTCAGTGTGAGACTATTGTTATATCATTACACTACAGTTGGTCTGAACTTATACTTTTCTCTTTCTGGCTTCTTGCTTTATCACTAGAATACTGGTAATGTTATTGTATTTTATATAGAACCAAAGGGGGAAAAAAATAAGGAACACAGGATCACATGTCCAGGACATGCATTTCCAGTTTTTTTTTATGCTAATAGGGGATGAAGTGTGAACCCACATATCTCATCACTTTAAATAGGCTGGGTACTGGATAATACATTGGAACTTGGGGACCAAATTTCCTGTGCAGTCCTACGGATGTGACATTAATTGATGCTGCTTGAGTGCCCCCAACAGTTTTAATACTGGGAGTCGCAGATTGCTTCAGCAGTAGTGGTTATAAAAGAAGAAGAAGCAATTGGGTCTACTTTGTAAGTCGAATTGGATAACAGCGTCTGCTAAATGCATAAACATAAGAGGCGGTTGTTTAAAAATCTTACTGTGTCGCTTGACATGGTGCTTGTTGTCATAAAATAGACGTGGAGGTCTTGTAGTAAACCATCATGTAGTAAACAGTGTTACAGCATCACCAACGCAGTGCAAATCAGTGAATACGACCTGTCCATGAAGCATTTCTGCATGCTTCAGTGCCGGCTTGGCTGGAGCCTGCAGTTATTCACAGCACCAGTCGTGTCACTTATGAGTCTCTTTTCCTCATCCTGCCTCAAGTTCATTCAAAATAGAATTTTCCACACCCATCCCCCAATATCCCCTGAACTGTTACTGCTTAACAGAACTGAACTTTTTTTTTATACCTCTCAAAATTGGTTATTTAGTTTTTACCTCACCCCTACTGGAATTACACAGCACCACCACAGGGGTGTGCCCCCCTACTTTGGAAGTCATTCTACTAACCAATTGAAGCCACTCTCCAGTCCCAGACTATCCTGGGGAGAAATCAAGCACTAGGTCTTTGTGGCATTCAGCTATTTTTATAACAACTTTACTTAAGAGGCTTGATTAATGAGTATTTGATTAGGAAATTAGCTAATTTCCTTTGGACCTTGGTTCTCTTTGCAAATGTCTGTCATGTGCCAAATGTTTTTTTAACATCCATGTACATTTCTTGGATACTGTACATCTTAAAGAATTTGCTGCCGTCATACGTAATTCACCTTCAAAAACAAATCTATTAATTTAAAATTTACAGGCCTTAATTCACAGTAATCAGGCATGTAAGGACATTTTTTATTTAAATATAAAGCAAAACAAATAAATCACTATGATATGTTGTTTGTACCTCAAATAAGTTCAGCTCATTTTTCAGAGAAGTCTGGCTAATTGGTTAAGATTTCTCCTGCATTTTTGTTTCTAATTGTCTTTGGGGCAATGACTGATTGATTTCCTTTTTTCATATGATGAGTGTACATGTGCATCCTATATTTTCCATCTGGATTCTTTAAATCCTTGTAATCTATCTTTCTCACTCCCCCCCTTCTCTATCCTGCCTGCTTGAAGGCTGCTGCCTGCAATGGGAGGAGCTGGATCATCATGGATTCAACTGGCAGCAGCTTGAAATAAACATGTTGTGGAGGACAGACGCCTGAGTCCCAGTACGGATGGGGAAGGACAGCCTGACGTGGGTGGGCCCTGACCTTGGCCAGGTTCCCGTCATCAGAACATGAAGCATCAGGCAGCTCCAGCCCCTTGGTCACTTGGTCCTGCTGGAGTTGTAGCCCTCGTCTCGGTTCGTCACATGAACCCGGCAAGCTTTCTCTGTCTCTGCCTCAGCATGGCCCCCAGCATTATGTCAGAGAGGAACCAGTGAAAATTAACACCTAATTATAGGCTCCACTCTGTGAAGAATGGTACTGGTGCCCATGGAGTGTGTCACCATGCGGGGGCTGCATGGTTGACTCACAGTGGGACTCAGGTCTGAAAACAAGGCAGAGGACACAAGAGGAACACACAGGCACACAGGTCATAGAGTGAATCCACATACAGGCAGATCCATGGAACTGATTCGCCTGCCTTCTTCTCCTTCTTGGTTGGTTTGTGCCTCAGCAGGGTCCCCCCCCCCCCCCCCTGGTGAAGGGAGACGCAACAGAATCCACTTGTGTTCCATGCGTGATCCAACAGGATTAATTACACACACAATAGAAGCTGATGCCTCTGGTTTCTGCTCTCCCCGGGCTCCCTTGTGGTGACGATGGTGTAGTTAATCTTCACCAGGAACAAAGGGGATTTTTGTTTAGGCGTATATACAGATGTGAGCTTGACTATGCTATGCTGCCATCTTGTGATTGCATCTGGACATGTGCAGAATATAAATCAGAGGGCCAGGAGAGCATCCTGGTGAGTTCTTTTTCATAATGCAATATCTAGTAGTAGAGGCAGATTAAAGATTAATGAAGGGCTTCGGGAGAAATAGTTCGTGCTACAGAGTTAAACCTGCAGAAGGTACAGTAGCTACATACAATGCCTCATACACACTTTACATTTCCGTTGATGGAGTTTTAGGTTATAGGCAAACATAAAGTAGCAGATAAATGTTATATGGAAAAAGAAAACCTAGATCCTGTTTTTATTTTTATTTTAGTCGCCTTTACTATGAAACAATAAATAAATCAAATTAGAAGTGGCTACAGTAGTTGCCCAACTGGCAAAAAGAAAGTTCTTGTTGAATTTAATCTGAAAGTGAATAGACCTTTTTTGATGGCCACAGAGTAGAATTCAGTCCCTATTAAGGGGTAAAGAAAATGGTGCACAGTTTTCTAATTCTTTGCATGTAAACTTTAAGTACAGCGTGCATATGGGTTCAGTTTAGTGTAAAGATCCAAAGTATTGGTGGTACAAAGCTTTTCACATCTAAAGACTGACATTTTGACAGTTGCTCCAAGCAAAATAGTGCAAGCTCAGTCTGACCGAAGGTAGAGATATCAAGTCTTACACTGAACTTTGACTAGGCCATTTTCACACAGAAACAAGGTTTCTAAAGTTGCACTGCTTGGATGCTTTTCATTGTTCTCCTGCTGGAAGGTACATCAAGACTTTAGTTTTTTTTTTATGTCTGGGAGGGTTTCTCCTGATTTTTAATGTATGTTTCTAATGAAGGTAAACGTCCCAACCTGATGACGCTGCCGTCATGTTTAACCAGAGATGGCAAAAGTACTAACTTTCCGTACTTGAGTAAAAGTACAGATACTTGTGTTAAAAAATACTCTGAAGGTGGAAGTACTGATTAAACTTCTTTACTCAAGTAAAAGTAACAAAGTACAGGCTTGTAAATTTACTTAAAGTATAAAAGTAAAAGTAGAAACCACTTTTTTCATGCCGTTGCCTACATTTTAAATGGATGTCTGCCAATAGGACTAGATCTCCGTTGTGTTCATTTTCAATCATCTCGTCGTCCATGCTACTATGCTAACGCCACCGCCACCAAGCTGCGATGATTTGCCGCGAATTAATACCGCCGAATCTGTCGATTCATCTTGTAGTGGTGCGTCAAATGCAACGTAGATTCCCATCCAATTAGATTGAATTTGGTATTGATGACGTGAAAAATAATAACGGTAACTCCATTGAAATGATTCAAAACTAAAGTAACGAGCCAATTTTTTAAAATGTAAGGAGTAGAAAGTACAGATATTTGTGTAAAAATGTAAGGAGTAGAAGTAAAAAGTCGCCATAAAAATAAGTAGTAAAGTAAAAATATCAGAAAAATCTACTTGAGTACAGTAACGAAGTATTTGTACTTCGTTACTTCCCATCTCTGTGTTTAACCTAAATCATTTTGTAAATAAGGAGAATAAAAGTATCAGTTCAGCAATGTCTAATAAATGTTTTGTCCTTTATTTTATCTCCCGGACAGGAGAAAAAGGTGAACCTTAGAGCCATTCCTTCTTAACTCTAAAATGTTTTCTCTCATGATTGGCCTAAATTAAGCAACATCCATTTTGGCTTCAAGTCTGACTAACTTCATCTGTCTCTGCTGAAGAGTAGCTTCCCCACAGCATGATGCTGCCATGTGGACAAAAAGTTACATTTTTGTGTTATTTCCAGTGTCCTGTTGATGTCTAATGACAAACTGCAATATTAACTTTTAAAAAAAAGCCTTTAATTCGCCACTGTTTGTACAAGTTTTTTTGGTTTTTTTTATCAGAATTTCTAATTAAACCAATAAACCACCTTATGAGTGCCTGAGTTTAATCAAATAACTCCAATCATTTTTGGCAGGAAAGTTAGTAAATAAATCTTTATTAGGTCTTCAAAGACTTACCAAAAAGGTTAATAACAAAAAAAATGTAATCTTTCATTCTTAAACCATACAAAACCACAGAACAACAAACTTTAACACCATCAATAAGTTCAGCATCTCTTAACTATTGAAGTGTGTCGCCTGTTTACATCAATACAGTAAAGACGGAGCAGATTTTAATCAACAAGCTTCACACAAACCCTCTACTGCTCCATTCCTGCTAATCTACGTCTGAGTGTATCACTCATTTCAGAAGTCAATAAAAAAAAAAAAACATTGGCACAACTGATTTTCAACAATCAGTACAGCTGCAAGCAAAGTTATTTCGTTTTTGGTGAGCACTTTGAAAAGTGTGCTGCGTCAGAAAACCTGAACTAAAGAAGTTTGTTTGCAGATGATCAGAAAGGAGTACAGGTCTAGAAATTGTTGCGTATTGCAGTTTTTTTAAGGTGCGGTCACTTTGTAGGGGCTCCCTGGGACATTGTCGTCTCCCCATTTGACAATGACGGTATAACTGCCTTTATCCTTGACTGTATAGGTGACGTTGTACATCTTGTTTCCCATGTGTTTGACATAAACCTCCTCACATGGAGCTTGGGGTCCATGCACACCCACCATCAGCATGTTGGTACCTGGACAGAATGATAAAAAAAAGAGATTTTATAGAAACCAAACATGACTTTCCTTTCCTAATCAGCCCAACTCATTTTAGATGTATTTTCACTTTAAAAAAAAGGAGTCTTGGTAATCTTCATGTTGTTTTTTGCTAACTTCTTTTAAATCGTTATCTAATCAGTACGTAATCTACACTCCCGAAAACTAATATGAGCTTGATCTGATTTTATCACATGAGGCATATGGAGGCTTATCAAAGGGTACGCTGTAATTTTCTTGTTCAATGTTTCCTCCTTTTCTGCAGGTTGTTAATGATGTTTTCTTCTTAAAAGGTTATCTATTTGTGATATTTATGAATACAGAAAAACACTACAGCCTTATGTGAAAGTGCTACAGTACCAGGAGTCTGGTAACCTGACTACGCCAGATGGATTTGCTCCGCATATCCATCTGGAAACCTTCCGTTGAAGTAATTTTGGGAAGGGGCGAAAATACTGGTTAGCTGATTGGCCTATGTTGGTGATAGACGGGCCAAATAAACCAATCAGATCAACAAAGCATATGACGTACTAACAGAGCGACGACGAAGAGGAGCCAATTGATAGATCAAACTCTTGCTGAAACCAGTCGGGAGAAGAGCAAAACCATATTTTCCTCTGCTTTTCCAGAGCAGTGTTTTGCTCTTCTTTCAGTGAAGAAATACTCTGTAATTCCGATAAAACTTGCTAGATAGCCACGCTAACGCTAGTTTCATCGGCTGAAGCCGCCATGTTCTTTAGACTGAACTGTCGCGCTTCTCGTTGCGTCACACCTCAACCCGCCTCAAAGCCAACGCTGATTGGACGTTCGTTTGGTGAACGGCTCCAAATTTTCTTCAACGGAGAGTCTCCAGACTGATTAGCGAGTGAAATCTTGAAAGCTCGCGAGATCAGGATGGTCTCACGAGGCTAGGAGTCTGGTAACATTGGCAACAAGTCAGTTTCTTACTTATATGGGTGTACCCTATGCAATTATAACGCTCCAGAATCCTTAATGATCGATCTTGAATTTTTTTTTCTTGTCGGTTTAGCTTTATTTTCTAGTAAAGTCAAACTGAATACATTCAAAGCAGGATTATCCATTTTTTTCTCTTCCATGTGCCTTTAAGAAGAAAATATTTTGTGAGATCCCACAAAGAATATATAGACTTTATTTGAATGTGTTTTTACTGTTAGGATTAGCATCTTTAATGACCATTAGGTGCAAATGCATCCATGCAAATGGAAAATAATCCCTCTGTTTGGTATGTGTGTACAATTCCCAGAGATATATCCTAAATGTATCTTCCCACCTGCTTTGCTGCAGTCAACAGTGAAGTTGTTTTTCTGCCCGACCAAAGCTTTAGACAGTCCCGCTCCACGACAAACAACCTTGCTGGCGTCACATTTCAGTGCTGCTGAAGTAGCGGAGGACGACGAGCTGTAGGCGGCGCCGACTTTGGCGGTCTTTGTGACAGTTTCCACCAAAACGGAGGAGGTCTCGTGGAGGCTGTGTCCCCCTGACAGACGCGCTCCTGCAGAGGAGGAGAGTAACAGAAAACTTATCGGAAAATGTCGTGCCTTCGATGTTACATAACTCACTGAGTATCAACAGAGGAATGAGGAAAGCACAGAAGCTGTTGATTAGTTCAAATTCAGACAAAAAAGAGAAAGTGGCTCCAATAGAGAATTATCTAACACCACTCGGGGATAAGGTAAACTCTCATAACTTCTGGGGGATTCTTAAAATCTTGAAGGTATCACATTAAAAAAACTAATAACCAGTGAAAGGAAAATACTGGATGGCTGTAGTGAAGAAGACTGGCAGCTTTCATCAATAGAGGCACAGATGCGTATGACATAACCTGCCACAATTTCTTTCTTTTTAGCAGAACATTTGTCTCATTATTGTGACATTTGTCATCCACAGATCAGATGGAGGAATGACTGTCGAGCAGACCTGTGATTTTGGCTTTGAAGGGGCTGCCCACTATGTGCTGAGGCCCGCCGTATTTGATGGTGATCAGATAGTTGCCGGGCGCCATGGGCGTGTATGTGATCCTGTAGCCTTCTGGACACTCCCGACAGTCCATCTTCACCTTGGAAGGCCCGTCGATGTTGACGGACAGAGCGCCTGAGCCGGCGTTACAGGTGTTGACCACGAACTCAGAGGGCACCCCTGGTGGAACGAGGAGCAGATTTTATCAGAACTCTTTTTTTTTTTTGCTGAATGTAACACGTTAATAGTGTAAGAGGTACATGTGATATCTACCTGTGGTTCCCCCCAGCAGGCCGGCGCCGTGCGCAGTGACCATCCCAGGATCAGCAATCAGACCTGGATCTCCCACTCGAACGTTAAAGGGGCTTCCAGGAATATGGCAGCCATTGAATTTGACATCTATGGAGTGGACGCCGTTCTCGCGTGGAATGAAGCGGATCGAGCTCTTGTCTGAAGGAACATTTTGAAATCATTTGAACTGTTGCTCCTTTGAAGTTAGAATGAAATTCATCTTTTTTTTCACATACCGCCATCGAGATCAGTGACGTAGCACTCCTCAGATGATCCGGAAGGCGTGTGAACTTTGGCGTCGACCGCGCCTCGGGCACCATTACGCTGCACCATGAAGGAAGCCTCCTGATTTACCTTTAAGTCTTTCTCCTACAGGAAAAAGAGAGGATTGCACCCAAACTATAGTCATTAATTTAATACATTTTTTTAGCTTTGAAAGAGACATTTGAATTTATTTAGTTTTTTCTCATAACTGCAGATTTAATGTCCACATAACAATAGAGACTCCCATCAATATTTGAATAAATGTCCATTTGCTCACTGTGGAGAAACAGCAGGCCTTCTGTAGGCATCAAATACATTCTGGATTTATTCTGGCAGAAAATTTGCCAACTTTTCTCATCAGAGCTTTTTCAAATTGCTTGATTTCCTGATACGGAGCCCACTTTTAATCATAGTCCATTAATTTTCTATGGGATTGAGGTCAGAGCTTTTGGAAGGCAATTTGAGAAGCTTAATGTAAGCTCTCCAGGGCTATTTCTGATATGTGCTGATGATCATAGTCCTGTTGAAAGACCAAACTGCATTTTATCCATCTGACCAAAATTATTCCCAGCTCAAAGAAAATTGGTCATAACATTCAGAAACCACCCAGGGACCATCGTAACGCGGTTCAATTGGGCAGCGTCAATGTCCACAGTCTAGCCGTTTTAAGGTCATCACGGACTAAAAGGACGGTGTGGAAGATAGAAGCCTCTGCCTCAAAATGAATGTCTGAAACCTGGAGCTATGGCAGCATCAGGGCTAGCTAAAGTGGTAGGTCACACATCCTGCAAACAGGAAGCCTGGGTTTGTATCCCAGCTGGGTGGAATGAGCTGCCGCTATGGGACCATTCACGCTAATGCCTGCTTTGGTGAGTGGCGGCCTGCTAGTGGTTAGGGCATTGCCCTTGGAATCCTGAGGTTCTGAATTTAAGCCCCACGGACCCCAATTCTGGCTCCCTGAACAAGACCTTTAACCTCCACACTGCTTCCCAGGCGCTGCACAAAAGCACCCCACTGCTCCCCAAGGGGATGGGTTAAATGCAGAGAGTTCATTTCTTTGCCCTGACAGTTTAATGACAATGTAAGATGGAAGGATGCGGCCATGCCCACCCATGCTAAGTGGCTCAAAGATATTATGTCATGCCTTACTCTTGAGAAAATTCGTCAATAACTAACTCAGAAGAAAACTTTTTTACTGTGTGCGGACCCTTTTTGAAGTACTTCCATCACTATAAATTGAGATAAAGATATTTCCCTGTCGACCTTCCTACCTATGTTGAACTTGAGTTCCAGTTAGGTTTTAAGTCTTTGGTGTTATCCAGGAACAGGGACCGACTGTACTATAACTATTACTGCTGGTATGGGTTAGGGGTTTTGTTTTGGTGGTGTTGCTTTCCCATTCTGACTTTTTTTTTTTCCTGTACACTCTAGACCTAGATGTAAACATCACAGTGTGCAATGTTGTATGTTAAAATGAAAATTCTATAAAAAAATATTCTGAGGAAAAAAAAAAAAAGATAGAGAACCGCCTCAAAGTTCTTCCACAGCTTAATTTGCTCAAACTTCAATAAAAGCTTGTGTTTAAATGCAACAGTGATCCTGAACAGCCGGGATACCTGGTTTCTGAAAGAGTTACAAGTTAAAGGAATAGTACACCCAAAACATGATTAGCCTTCATTTTCTACTCACCCC